TCCAGTTGCCATGACTCAACCTCCAGATCATCTTGAGTCATTTTGAGAGAACAGCTATGCAGATTAAATAAGTGTGTGTGTGTGTGTGTGTGTGTGTGTGTGTGTGATGGTTGAGAGCCAGTTTGGTGTTATGGGTAAATCATTAGGCTAGAAACTGGGAGATGGTGAGTTCTAGTCCTGCCTTAGTCACAAAGCCAACTAGGTGGCCTTGGGTCAGCCCAGGAAGAAGCAGGCAATGGCAGACCATTTCCAAAATCTTGTCAAGAAAACTGCAGGGACTAGTCCAGGCAGTTGCCAGGAGTCAACAATGACTTGAAGGCACGAAAAAAAAAAAGTCATGGTTAATGGAAGGTCTAGTTCAGTAAGACCCTTAAAGCCTTCTTCAGGTCAAACTGAGCTCTGGTTGACCGCACTTGAAAGACCACATTGTTTTCCTGAGCCCAGGATGAAAGCAATTGCCTGTTTCTGAGCCTACAGCCCAGAGGTATTTAGTCAGAATCTCTTGCAGGACTGATGAATAACAGAAAACAATGAGAACGGTCAGAAATTTCTTTTACACAAAGAGCCAGGCAGAGCATTGGAGGGTGGGGTGGGGGGAATAAAAAGGTTGTTATTGTTGTGGCTATTTTGCCAGCATCGAACTTTTATGCAAGCCTTCCTCCTTTTGAGTGAGGAAGCTGTTACAACGTGGTCTCTGTGATTCGCAGCCTACCTTTGTGTCTGTTCTGGGCCCAATGTAGATCTTTCTAGAATTTAGAGATTTGTTGGGGGGAGAGAGCCCCACCTTCCATGCACACCACCCAATCAGGTTTTGCTTCTGCTGAGTCTGCTTAGTTCTTTTTCAACCAGCAAAGCATTAGGACATTAATCCTTCATCTCCTGAGGGTCCTTGGATAATTTTATGTTTATATTTAATGGCTTTATTTTAACTCCTTTTTCACTTCTCCTCACTGAGGAGGAAGCCTTATTCTTCCTTTGCAAGTCGCCTGGCCTGTGCCTAAAGCCTCATTTTGCAGCACCAGCCTCAGTGGGCATAATCCTTTGTTGCGACAGACGGTTACAGGCAGGGCCAGCCATTTACTGAACAGGGTTTTCCAGTGCTTGTGGCTTGTGACATACCCTTTGGGAGAGCTCTTTGAGCATCAGGAGCTGAAGTTATTGTAGCTCCCACATCTTCCTCCAAAGCTTCTTGCCATGTCCCAAAAATGATCTGGAGACCTTCTCACCTTTTCTCAGGGGTGCTTACATTTCCCACTTCCTACAAGCAATCTCCAGCCTTCCACAGTGCCATCGCTGGCACTGGAAATCACCCAGTGATTTGGGCATACAGGCATTCTAGGAGGCATGTTCCACCTAATTCTGAAGAAGCAGAAGAAACAGAAGGGACAAAGGCTGTCTTGCCTCAAGTCCCTCTTCTCCAGTGCCACAGCTGTCAGTCCTGTCTCTGCTAGGGACAGAAAACTGTCCTCTCCAGGCCCTTCTGAGATCCAGAATTCTATTTCAGAAGGAGAGGTTAGTGACAGGTCTGCCCTTTTCCACCCTAAGACCAAGTCATTCCCCTCCTTTCATTTTGAGTTTACCAAGGTCCACTTGCACTCTTCTTCCCTATTTCTGTTGGTTCCCTACATTTTCATCAGCCTTCATTTTCTTCCAGCTCCTCACAGCGTCACCCTTACCATTGTTTTGATCAGCAGGTTCAGCATTTCTTGGGGCCAGCCAAGGTTTGGCAATTCACATCGCTCCATGTGTTGGCCTTCTGCTCCATTGTGTCCTCATCTGCTTCTGCTTAGCCACAGTCCAGAATGATTGCATGGCAGACAGCCTTGAACAGTATGTTTACACTACCCCCAGCATAGATCTGCCTTCAGGACTTTCCTTAGAGGTATCCTTGCATCCCAGGTCTAGCCCTATGTGGCTTCTTGCCCAAAGATAAAACAGTTTTCCTATCAAGCAGTGTTTATATCATCAGCTTACATCTTCAGAGGCCCCTTGCCCTCAGACTTTTTCTACTGCTGTTAAAACAAAGAATCTGCCCCACTTAACATCCAGAAGGGTTCAGGCTCTCTCTGAAGATGATGATTATGCTTCTTGTACCTCTTCACTCTATTTGGCTTCATCTACAGTGTCAGCTGATACTTAAGTTGGAGACCAAGGGCTTGAGTTCTTCTGGAGACCTTCATTTCTGTGGAGAAGAGATTGGTAGAATGATGCGATCTCAGATCTATAGGGAATCTTCATTGTCTCAATTATTTCTTGAAGAGTTCTGCTTCAAGAAGATCTCAGTCATTACTATCCTTCCTCTTTTTCAGAAAGGGATGTAATGTGTACCTACTGATTTGCCAGTTGTCTACTAACCCTCTTGCTCTTTTTCTCTCCCTTTCAAACATCAGACCTTCCTTTGGTTCTTAGTGATGGGTCCCTTTATTGATTTTGTATTTTGCCATTCCATCTCTCCAATGCCCTTAGAGTTTTCTCTTGAATTATGCATGCGTTGTCACACTTGTCCATCTCCAAGTTATCATTTATTTTTCTTATTGTTGCACAGTCTATTTCTGAGCTTTTTCAGTCCATAGTTGGCAAGCCCCACAAGGCTGACAAACTTGGAAAACAAGAGCCACTTGGATTTCTGGAAAGATTTTATTGCTATTAGGGTACAGTAACAGAATTTTGAAAGCCTATCATAGTATCTCCCATACAACTCCCATGTATCTCCCATACAACTTATACTCTGTGTAATTAGGCAGAGTTACTTTGAGTCTCTTTCTCATGTAGCCTCCCTCCTAAAAATCTCTTCTCTTATGGCTCTGATTCCTCCTTTAACTATTTTGCTGCCTCCTTTGTGTTTCCAAGGTTAGGTGTTTCATCACACCAACTCAAGTCTCCTGGTTAATTACAAGACATCTTCTTTTCTTCACGCACAAATTGTCTAGTTCATGGAGCAACAATTGATATCACCAAGGGAGCTGTCTGTGAATTGATGTGCTTCAGCCTCTCATATACAAGATTTCCTCCTCCTTTGTGGTTCTCCGACAACTGGACTATATAGCAGCCACAGTTTTGGTCTTACTTTCACCTATCTTTGGATGTGCCATTTATGGATGAGGTACTTGACTCCATTCTTGGGGTACAGATATTCGCATCTCTCTATCCAAACATGTCTTTAGGCTGGTGGTTGATTACATGCAATCAGCACCTCCATCCTAGATACAGGTCTTCACTGCTGATGCATCTCTGTCCAGGTGGAAACTCAGCTCCAGTTTATCAACATTAAAAGCACTTAGCTTAGAGTAACAGTGCCATTGAGAAGGTAGTGTGATCCTTTGAAGATCATCTCCAAGGCCAGATTGTCTGGGTTGCATTAGGCAATTCTACAGTTAACACATACATCAACAAAGAAATTAATACAAGGTCTTGCCCACTTGTACATCTTGTGTTACAGATATAGTATTGATGCATTCATATTTCTCCTGATAGTTCATCTGGCTGGAAGCAACAGTGTCCTTGCTGACCAGCTTAGCTACCAGCTCTATTCACCTGATATTATGGGATATGGTATTTTTGGCAGCTAGAATCTTGGCTTGCCAGGCAGGAAAACTATATGACTTGTGCAGAGAACATCTCTCCCTTCACTTCATGAGGATACAGTAGTCCTTCACCCAGATAATCTCTTTTTTTCTAAAACCTGTGGCATTGATGAAAGTGTTGCTCCATTCTCTCTCTGTCTGAAGAGCACTTGCCTTCTCCTTGGACCAGACATCATTCCCAAGGGTTCAGGGCGGCTTCTTGGCTTTCTGAGGCCCATCTAAGTTGTACTATCTTCTTCCCAAGTGTTTCTTTGAAAGGATGGTATCAGCTGGGTAAACATCAGTGCCCCCTTGGAAGCAGTGGAATATCTGCAGTTTCCTTCTGAGAAATGGCATGGTTGCCAGCTACCTGGGTGTAGCCTTCCCCCTTCATCTAACACTTTAGACTGGACCTCTGCTCTCAGAGAGATACAGCCTTAGAAGAACCCACATATTTGTGAATGACAGACCACAGTGAAGAAGAACTGAATGGTCATCTCTGAATTCACCCACCACCCTACACTCCTTGGTACCAAGGAACCGCACTATTTCTTCCCAGATCCACTCTGTCAATTCAGGAACTGAAGGGCTTCACCTCAGGAGCCATGTTTAGGTATCTGGTGTGCCTGAGGGGCAGGGCTGCTTCTACTCCACAATTCTGTAAACTCTGGCAGGTCCTGAATGCAGCTCTGCCCATGGAGAAGACCTCTCAGAAGACTCCAGGATGGGTAAGTAACCCCTTCTTTTAGACACTGAAGTTATGTTATAAACTGTATGATCTAATTCTTTGAATTTTACCCTCACTGTTTCTGTTTTTTGCCCACTCAGAGTGATTGCTTACTCATTAAAGATGGACGAATTATCAACGATGACCACTCCTTCTATGCAGATGTGTACGTGGAAGATGGACTTATAAAGTTAGTTTCAAAACACTGAAATTTCTTTGTACATTCAGTGATACAAGAGATGGAGCCTAGGATGTTCTGGCTTATTTGATTTAATAAGCTTCAATACCTTGAATTAAAAAATGATATACAGAGAGAGGCAAAAAGCAGAAAGTGATAAGGTTAAATTATTATAATCTGAATTGCAAGGATTATAGCATGAACTATCACACAGAGAATAATGCTTATTGCATTTTAAAATGCTGTTTGTTTGATACATTATGTCTCACCTCTTCTGCAAAGGGAAATTGCACTAAAGTCTTGGAGATCTAATTCACAACATTGGAAGAGTTAGGCTGATGAGTCTTTACCATACAATTTGGAATATTTTTGCTTGGCAGTTTTTCCTTAGCAACAGTGATTTGTGGAACAGCAAAATTGGTAAACCAATTAGCATTCAGAAATGCAAATCAGTTTAGTTTAGAAAGCAACTTCTGCTGACTTTAACTTGATTTAGAAAGCTTCTTGTTTTTATCATTTGTGATACCAGATTCCTAATGATTTGACACAACTACATTTAGTAAATGTTGCAAGTTGTCTGTTGAATCTTTAGTGATACAAGATTTTTTTTTTAACTTAGAAAATGTACATGGCTGTCCATCTTAAATGAATATCTCTTGGTGGCTAACAACAATACGTGAAAGAAAAGCACTATGAAACAAGACAAAAGTGTAATTAAATTAACTGGATAAGTGGACTGTTAGGACTGGGCCTAAAAGTTTTACTGTATTTACCACAAGGGAAGGGAGCCTTGAATTTAAGACCATCCTCCAAGAGAAGGTAGAAAAATTAATCTGCTTTTTGTGCTGTATTCCCAGACAGCTCTTCGATTTCCCCATTTGGGGGGAAAACAATAGTCTTCCTTTCAGTGACCAAGGCAGCTTCTGCCTCTCGCTTCTGCGCCGAAGCCCCACTCAGGCATCAGAAATGCCCCAGGAAGAGAACATGCTGGGCATGCCTTGATCATTCTGCCCCAGGACCCAGGGGCGAGGGCATTGCAGGGGTGACCCTGGCCAACTGGGGTGCAAGGGTGCAGCTCAACCAGAGGCCGGTGCAGAGCTGTGAGGTAAAGAGGGAGATGGATTGACTAGCACACAATAGCTGCCAATTCATCTAGGACGCCCTTGAATAGTTAGCATTTTAGGAGAACTGCAGTAAAGTTCTGTAATGTATCCGGCCACTTAAGCCCCGTTGGGCATCACAGCTGGTAGGTCACATGACACCTCCCCCCACCCTCCACGGCATCCTTAGGGCATCCCACGTGCAGGGGCCCAGCTTGTTTGGGTAAAGAAGGTGCTTGAAGCTTGCAGAGGCATCCGTTGCAGCCAGCCCGAGGACCGCCCTAGTCAGCCCCTTCCCTGTGACCCTTTTGAGAAGGAGGCAGCCGAGTTCCGGACCTAGGAAAGCTGCGGTTGCACATCTCTTTTGCACCTCTGGGGACCTTGGAGCTCAGTGGCAGCAGCCCTTGAGGCAGTTGCAACTAAATAATTTGCAGGAGGTGAAGTATTAAGCATTAACTTGCACCAGGGCTCCTTTTTAATCAGCTAGGAGGGAGCCAAGCTATCTCTCTCCCGATGTTTCACTTCCCAAGTCAGTGGGTCTGATTGGCATACTTCTGTTGTAGTAGAAGTAGTGGCAGTAAATTTATCATGTGCCTATAACTAACCATAGCACAGACACCACAGTGCAGGCTCTGAATTAGAAACAGCAGTTCATACTGTAATATATAATAAAACAACTGTAAAATCAGAATATGAAATAAGAATTCTCCAGACTAAAGGTCCCACGACATATTAAAAAAAAACCAAACTCAACATCTGTACAGTCAAATTAAAAGTATTTGCTGATGTTTTGTTTTTGTTTGTTTGCATTTATAGCACCTCAGTTTTGACCAAGCCTCATGACTCTCTCTTTGCCTGCTCACAGAACAGATTTGTCTCCTCTGTGTTCTTTAGGGATCTGATGCCCTGAGAGGTCCTTTTTCCCTCCTGAATGCCCAGGGTATATTTCACCTGCCAGAGCCTCCAAGCTGTTTTTGCATTTCCCCAGCCCAGAATATTTTCTGCACCTCTTTGTTACTCTCATCTAGTGCTTTTAGTCTCTCTTCATCTGTCTTCCTTTGGAGGGAGAGCAGGGTGTTGCTTCCGGGGCCTGTTCTCTTGTTCATGTCAGGGATATTAACTTCAAAGGTGGTTCCATGATGGTCAGTGATTTGTGTCATGGCATCATTACGTTCTATTTATTGATTGATGTGGTGTGATTTGTATCCCACCTTTTAGTCAGGAGCTCAAGGTGGTGGCCAGTGTACCCCCTCCTCTAATTTTATCCCCACAGCAACATTCTTACGAAGTAAGTGAGTGTAATGGTATGTGGGAATGACCTTGGGAGACGGGGGGAAGAGATGCTGCCTAGGGAACAATCAGATAAGAGCGGGGGGACCCTGCAACTGCATAACGGGAAAAGAAAGAAGCTTAGAAAGGATCCACCTTCACTTATCAGGCTGTAAAAAGAGACGGCGGGAGATTTGTACTTTCAGACTTGCAAGATTGATGTCAGTGTCCAAGGTAGACCAGACAGGAAACACAACAAGGTGGCTAATTCTACTTCATTGTAAGGCTACGTTAACAGAATCTCAAGGTCCTTCCCACATACCATTACAGTGGGGCTGCGAGACAATGGCCGGTCCTACACAGTACAGGTCACCCCTTCAGCTCAGGAAACAGACTCCATGGGAAGTTCAGAACTACACTTTATTGAGATAGACGGGCTCCTCCCTGGTTCACTGGGATGAAAGCGGGAGGGGGGCAAAGTGCAATCAGGCTTGCAAGATTCTGTTGTTATAGCTTGAGTCTCTTCCAAATACTGTCTTGCTTCCCAGGATTTAAGAAATGTTTCAGCCTCTTTGCTTATATAACGGTTCCTGCCTATTTCCCTCAAGGTCATCTCCCTGATTCTCTACAGTGAATTTCCACTGCAAAGGGTGGACTTGAACTAGGATTGCCCCCATCTAGTCCAGTAGCCTAACTATTTTAATGCACTGAACTTTGTTTTTCCATTTATTTGCTGGCATGGTTAGCATTTTTGAAGCCATTTCACAAAGGTGCAGTAGCTGCTCCTTGATAGAACTAGGGCAGTACAGGGTCCCACCAAGGAATGGATTTGGGTTCCAGATCTGGTCAGGAAAAATGGAGTTCCCTTTTTGCTGGAAGGAGTCTTCCGGCCATGTTTTTAAAAAGCTGTCCTTTCAGGATGTGTATTTCTCTCTTGTCTTCTGTTAGGGAGAATTGACAGGGGCTGGCTGGTGATTGCGGGTCTTCCCGCTGCCCCTCGGGAAAAGGATTGCAGGGAAACCAGGCGGCGGCGATGGCGGCGGCTGTTGCTGCTTTGTTTCTGCCTCCTTCTGAATGAAACCGTCCTGGAGGAGTTGATGTATCTGTTAGATTTGTGTCCTGCATTTTGTGCTGCAGCTCAAGGCAGCGTGCCTGTTGCTCGCTCTCCTATGCCTCCTCCCAGGAGCAACTTTGCGGGCTGAGAAGGAGCGACTGGCCCAACGTTCCCCAGGGAGCTTCCATGGCTGAGGGGCAACTAGAAACTGGGTCTCTCCATTCTTAGTCCAGGACCTTCATTGTTTCACCGGGGCTCTTGGCTGAAAAAGAAGGACTGGCCCAAAGTCATAAGGGAGATGCCATGGCTAAGAGGGGACTAGAACCCGGGTCTCCCTGCTCCCAGTCCAACACCTTCCCCACTAGTCTACCCTGGCTCTCTAAAGATGGAGCCTGCCTGGGATCTTCCATCACGGAGCTGGGCCTTATTGTACCAACTCTCCATGGCATAGGAACAGACTGGTCCTGCGCAGAAGGAGGGTGGGAGGCCAGCAAGGAGGTAGGAATTCCTCTTCTGATGCAACATCTTGATCTCTCAGGATTGTTCCTTCTGGTGACAGGACCTTCAGTGTTTCTAAGGCCTGGTCCGTACTCATCTGCAATGCTCCAAACTCTACATGCTCTTTTAACACCAGCAGAGTGACTGAAATCCATCCTGTTCTACCTGTCTCTGATCTCTCTGGCTGGCTCTCTAGTATTCAGCCAATGCCCAACTGTGTCTCTTCCCCCCGCCCCCCATTCCTATGATCTCATCATCCATGTAAGATACTCAGTTGGCATGACCTATGATGGTTATATTCCAAGAATCGTGTTTAGTTGATGGAGAGCACAGTGTATCGATCACCTCTCTGTTGCCATGTTTGATACAAGATGAGGGGGCTGGGTTCCCCGTTCTGATGTGAGCATCATAGGGCTTTAGAGGGACAAATAGGGATGGAGATGTGCAGAGGTTTTGAATCATCTTATATAA